CAGAGCCTGCACCAGGAGACTGGAATAAAGGTAAGATTTCACTATAATTAGAAGAGCAGAGGGGACAGATAGTTTTTAACATTATAGAGTCAGGAATATATGTTTCTGTTCCTGACCCTATAGTGTTTTACCCTTAGTATAATTTTAGATATACAGCTGAAATCCCAACGAAAAGTGGAAAAATATACAATTTTTATAATTTAAAAACCAAATGTCTCAATGTGGGAAAATATATCAGTTTGTTTTGGACAATGGGCTTCTTTGAGTTTCAGAATCCAACTATCTAGCTATTTGAATATTATTTTAGAAATTCACGATGGAACCTTTGGTTTAGTTCTCACAACAAATACTGACTCACTCGAGAAAAATATACCCATTTCATATGTAGAAGTTCCTAATGTGCATAAACCAATGCTATTAAGGGTGCATCAAGATTATGTTTGCAGTGGAAATTATTGTTACATAGATGAACACTGTAGCATAATGATTACAAATATGTATTCCTAGTTTTTAGTGCTAGCCATGTGAGAGCTCGAAGGGTGAGTTCAACTTACCTTTCATCCCTCGCCAGGCCGGTCTCTGCCAATACAATGCTTTCCGATCGCAAAATTGGGAGGCTAGTGTGCATCAAAACTCTGTGATGATGCACCAATCATATGGTCTCTATGACCATATAAAGGCTTGCGGTCGGTGAAGTTCGGTAGTTTAAAAACGATCAAACTACCGAAAAGAGTCAAAAAAGTCTTAACCTGGAGGTTGATCCCCTTGTTCGTGGGAACGTTTCCACCGAACAGAGCTTTTCTAAGTGTTGTGGAACCGAATGCAGGCTATGCTAGAAGTCCAGCGGTGTTCGGGAGTTTCTGTGTCCGTTTTCAGTTCCATGAGATTCATGCCCAAACACCGCTGCCTGCTTTCATACGCACAAGATGGTCGCCACCTCGTGGTCGTCCATAGGAATTGCGGCCACCCAGACGAACACTGCTACAAAGTTACAATTAGGCTTAACAAGCTCCAGGGTGATGTCCGGTTCATGCGGCTGTTCGGTTCCCGAACCAAATATTAAATCCCATGAACCAAGTCTGTTTGGTAAGACCCATAGTCTTTTGGTAAGAGGCTGGCCAGCAGGCCCCTCCAAGAACACATGACGTGGCTCAGTTCGTCACACTACGATACTGAGAGTGATACTTCCTCAATTTCTCCTTAAGAAACTCTTCCCTTTCAGATTCTCCAAGTTCGGCAACACTTTTGTGGTTGGTGTCAAATTGACGTCTAACACTTGATGTGCGGGAAAACACTTTCACTACACAGAATACATAATGCTTTTCCATTGCTTACAATCACTCTAAATGATTCTGTCCAAGCCTCTTGGAATGATCTTCCACTGTTTTAAGTTTTGCTTTTTTTGCTGTACTCATTTTTTTGTGTGTTTGTGAATGTGTGGCTGAGTGACAGGCAACAGAGGGTTGTAGTTAACGGAATATATTCGAAGCTTGGACTTGTCACCAGTGGGGTACCTCAGGGATCTATACTTGGACCCATTCTCTTTAATATTTTTATTAGTGATATTGCAGAAGGTCTTGATGGTAAGGTATGTCTTTTTGCTGATGATACTAAGATATGTAACAGGGTTGATGTTCCAGGAGGGATAAGCCAAATGGCAAATGATTTAGGTAAACTAGAAAAATGGTCAGAATTGTGGCAACTGACATTTAATGTAGATAAGTGCAAGATAATGCATCTTGGACGTAAATACCCAAGGGCAGAGTACAGAATATTTGATAGAGTCCTAACCTCAACATATGAGGAAAGGGATTTAGGGGTGATTATTTCTGATGACTTAAAGGTAGGCAGACAATGTAATAGAGCAGCAGGAAATGCTAGCAGAATGCTTGGTTGTATAGGGAGAGGTATTAGCAGTAGAAAGAGGGAAGTGCTCATGCCATTGTACAGAACACTGGTGAGACCTCACTTGGAGTATTGTACACAGTACTGGAGACCGTATCTTCAGAAGGATATTGATACCTTAGAGAGGGTTCAGAGAAGGGCTACTAAACTGGTTCATGGATTGCGGGATAAAACTTACCAGGAAAGGTTAAAGGATCTTAACATGTATAGCTTGGAGGAAAGACGAGACAGGGGGGATATGATAGAAACATTTAAATATATAAAGGGAATCAACACAGTAAAGGAGGAGACTATATTTAAAAGAAGAAAAACTACCACAACAAGAGGACATAGTCTTAAATTAGAGGGACAAAGGTTTAAAAATAATATCAGGAAGTATTACTTTACTGAGAGGGTAGTGGATGCATGGAATATTCTTCCAGCTGAAGTGGTAGAGGTTAACACAGTAAAGGAGTTTAAGCATGCGTGGGATTGGCATAAGGCTATCCTAACTATAAGATAAGGCTAGGGACTTATGAAAGTATTTAGAAAATTGGGCAGACTAGATAGGCCGAATGGTTCTTATCTGCTGTCACATTCTATGTTTCTACGTAAGGTCTATAAAAACATAAAATGTATTAAAAGAAAAGACTGTAAGGGTACATATCGCTCTCCAGCACAAAGAAACAGTACATATCACTTATTACCACACTACGAATGTTAAGGGTGGAAAGGATACTTGTAATTTATTACCACACTACAAGTTTTGACAGTTGTAGCGTGCTGGTGACATGTACCCTCACAGTGTGTTAATAAGTGATATGTCTCTATGTGTTTGATAGAGCTGCGCCCCCTATTTCGTCAAAAAGGCCTTTTTAGGGCCCTGCATGATAGGAAGTCCCTCTGGTGGCCGTCTGAGTGACGGCCACTGAAGGTATTCCTATCAATCAATGTAAACACTGTATTTTCTCTGAAAATACAGTGTTCACATTAGATAGCCTGCAGGGAGCTATAGATCATACCTGAACAAATACATCAAGCTGTAGTTGTTCAGGTGACTATAGTGTCCCTTTAATTTTATCGGTGGGTACAGGTTAAGATTCATTTTTCTGGTCTTTTCATATGTGGGGCTTGTCACTAAGGCTGCAAAAATTGGCATGTGACAGTGGCTCTTTAATGACAGCACACAGAGGTAGCTTGTATCAAGGCCTTTTTAATTACTTTTTTTTTTAAATAAAAATGTTTAATCTGGGTTGGATATATACCAGATTCAACCTCTGCAAAAAAGTGTCCCAAGTCCTTTAACCCCTTAAGGACACAACTTCTGGAATAAAAGGGAATCATGACGGAATATTTCCGTCATGTGTCGTTAAGGGGTTAAGGCATGGGAGCAATTTAGCTTAAACGCTGCAAAAAAATAAATAAATAAAATAATCAAAACGATCAGCCAATTGATTATGAAAATAATGATTAGTTGCAGCACGGTATCCCTGTAAAACTTTCACTGGCACACTCTACTAACGTAGGCAGTCCAAAAGCTACAGAAAATAGTAAAAAATTGGTTGCACAGTGGTCAGCCCCCATCAAAATAAAAACAGTCACAAAGCTGTCAGCTTTCATCCGAATAACATTGGTTGCACAGCAGTCAGCCCCCATCAAAATAACATTGGTGGCACAGCGGTCAGGCCCCATCAGAATCACTGAATAAAAATGACACATGGTTTCAAGGGGAGCTGTTCTAGCGTATGGAAGTTTCCATACAAAAAAAACTTCCTAAGCAGAAAAAACATAAAAAAAAACTCAATAAATACTAAAAGCAATTAAGAGTGAAATACCTTGAGCTAGAATAGGAATAAAATAACAAGGGGGATGACTTAAGCGAGTAAAATAATCTAGGAGAGAGAGTCATATAGTAAAAAAAAAGCTAAATATAGTAGACGTAATTTCCTGTCTCCTGGCGGCAGCAGTGCTGGAACAGCACGTAAGTCAGTGCTCCCTCACAACCCTCCATCCCACCCACCAGTGCCATCTTAACATTGGACTGGGGCCCTGTCTACACACAGAACTTTACACCTCTTGCAGTTAGGGGATTCATCTGTGTATGTGCAGTGTTTCAAAGCCAAAAGCTGCACATTTATTTGAAAAGTGCACGCTGTGTTTAGGCGATCCAACACTAATAAAGTGCGAATGCAGCACTTCAAATAAGAAATAGTGACTTACCCCCTCCAGTAAATAATATATGGAATATGAGCACTTCAAACCACATAAGAAGAAATGGTGCTTGGAGTAACCCAAGAAACAACATTTTCTGATTTGGAAATGCGCCAAATCAGACTCAGTAATCTTTAGTCTATTATCCAGTCATTTTTCCCATTGACACTTATGCATGGTGAACCACTATAATTGTGTTACTTGTGTCTACAGAGCAAACTTTCCTTATCAGTTCCGTAACTATAAATTCACATTTAAACGTCCAGATATTGATTGTTAGCAATATCTGCGCTACTTCCGTAGTAAATACTGAATTGATATGGTTCGGTTTTGTACTCTGATAGGAGCGTAATGAATAAAAGTATTTCCGTGATTTAGCATTGTATTTGTATAACACCGGAACTCTTACTACACGTGGAACTCCTCCAGCGTTCCACATTCCAACACACGCTCCGTTGAACCCCTCCTCCTCCCAGTACAGAGAGCGTCATTCTCCCATAGCACGCCTTGGTCTAAGCGCTGTCCAATAACACAGCGACGTGTCCCCCTAAACTCGCCCTGAGGCACGCCCATTTTCAGGTTTCCTTTGCAAAAGTGGCAGTTCCCTATTGGCGATTGAGTCAGACAGCCAATGGGCGAGCAGCAGCTCAGGGTTCATGCCCGATGCATCACAGCAGACAGCCACCCCTGCAACATGCAAAGCAGGAGGGGATAGTTTGCGTTCCATTGCAGCAACAATGGCAATAATAAAGTCACTTTTTAATAAATGTATGACGCGCAGAGCTCAATAAATGGATGAAATAAATGGCATTTTGTGTGTGCTTTGCACAGGAAAAGAGGGGCACATTGAGGGGTGTGGTATTTTGGTAAATAGACATAAGGAGAATGATTGGCCCATGGGCCAGGCTACTGCTAGGGCCACCAATCATACCTGAACACTTCCTGGAGGGGCGGTCCCTTGGGGTTTTTTTTTTTTAACTTATTTTTCTAGGGGTGTAGGACTAGGCAGACTTGGGGTAATTGGCAGAAACGGTGCGGAAGGCTAGTACCAGGATGGAGCTGAATAAAGCATGGATCCTGCTGCTGCTTCTTGGGTTGGCACACATTGCTGTAGTGTCCTGTGAGCAGGAAGACAAAGGTATGTGCCATAGTATGGGTGACAGATGGAGGAGTTTATGAGAACAGTTCTTAAGGAATCCCAAGGCGTGTGGGTAATTTCAGATTTTAGCGTATTTTTTTTTATTGTAGTGTTTTATGTATTAAGATAAGATCACTTTTTATGTTCAGTGTGCCATGTTCAATGAATGTATGCACTGGTTCTTTTTTATGTTCCTATTGACACACCATATTCACCATAACTATGCAACATTTTTATTCTATCAGGATTGACTAAAGTGAGAATTCAAAGTTAAATTTTTAAATGTAATGTCAATGAAGTGGAACTGGAAGCATAGTTTACTTAGAGAATGTATCAATTTCAACTATTTTTGCTTTAAATTAGAAACTCATTTGGAATTCTTACCAAGTTTAGTCAATAAACCAGTTGATTATTTTGGCCTATAATTCTTATAGTTTTATTGTCAGTTCTAAACAATTCTCAGTCTAACTTATGAAAGCCATACAGTGGTTTAAGGGGAGGAGAGGAGACGACCGCCATTGGTGACAGGTGGCATTAGGGTTCAGAATGCAACCCCCTCCTGTCTGAACAGGCACCTTACCTGTTGCATGTCTGTGTACTGTATATCTAAGTGCTTATGAATGTCAGTATGTCCATATTGTTTTCCTAGCAAAAGGGGCTTGAAGGTCGTGCAGAGAGAGAGAGACAAATACTTTTCTGCCTAGGATGTCATGGGACCTAAGCACTTCACTGATCTATGCTGCCTTTTTTAATAGCTTCAAGTATCCATTGCAACAAAAAATAATTGCTTGCCTTGGAACGTTTGTGATGAGAAGTGACACACACCTGCAATAATTCATTGCACTGAATGGTAATGAGACTGTTCATTCAAAGTGTGGCAGAGAGGGGACTATTAATATATATATTTTGTTTAATTAAAGATACTTTTGTCAATGGTAATTCTCCTGTTATTACTAATTGCCATAAATATACACTCCGATTAATTTCAAACTATAAACTTTTACATACTTGTGCAACTAGATTTGCAAATATTTTATATGCCTTTTGTACGTAAACTGATTGTCTAGTTAATTTTCCTTAAAAACATGCAAGTAGTCTTCTGACAGTTCTTTCATTCACAAATCATTGCTTGAAGGGAACTACTTTCTTGAAAAGCACCCTCTGCCTGGATATATAGCTATGATAATGAATTTCCTGACCATTTTATATCTCCTATGGAGAATTATTTGCAACCTTTTTTATTGCATGCGACCAATTCCAATTGAAAAAAAAAATCACAAATATTTGGTGGAACTGTGGCCATTTGACTACATTGATCTGAAAAAATACCCTATATTTTTTTTTTTTTTTGATGCGTTACAGAACACATTCAAAAACTGTGCAAAAAATAAAAATAAATACTGACCTGCTAAGTGTCCTTGGGGCTCGGTGTACTGCCTTAGAGGGTCTGTCTGCTGTTGCTCCTAGTTTAATTCATTATAGACTATCGGGACTGATTTTATTCCATAATCTAATACTTGGCAAGTATTTGATCCCCCTTCCACAATTCCAGTCATCACGTAATATGACTGCTATCAGTTTATACACAGGCATTCGCTGTTTTTGCTCTCAAAGAGAAGGAGAACTATATCTATTGCTCATGTTTAAATGCCTTTTTAAAGAAATATAGAAGTGAGAGAGAAAAAAATGACCAATATTGCACAGCTATATTGATACCTCTAAAAATGTTCCAGAATTGCTGAACCTTGTTGGAGAAAGTTTCACTCTGCATCTCAACCTGGACCCTTACTCCCTATCCAACTACCGTCCTATCTTGCTACTGCCTTTTGAGTCCAAGAAACCTCACCAAGGGTTTTTTATTTTTTAATAAAAAAGTGTTTTATGAAAAGTATGTTTTGTTTGGTTGGAGAAACAATTTGAAGTAATATTTAGAATGGAAAAGTATTTGCTACTTCCGTAAATAATTCCTTGGGTAATTTTCCCAATTGTTATTTTAAACCACCCTTTGCTTGAAACCACAAATCAAGTCAATAGCCATTAAGAGTGTCATGGAAAGAAACCACACTTTAAACTGTATTGTCCACAATGGTTAACCACATGTGTGTGAATCTCTATTTCAAAACTCCAATGTCTTTTTATGTTGGCCCATTCAAGCTTGTTATCACTGCTGCTGACCTATGTCTTTCTTTAACTTTCACTTAATTTAAAGTTTTATGTTTTTCTCAATTGTAAAATCCTATATAATCTTAACTGCTAAAAGACAAATATCCCATATTGACATAAAAGCCTTGCTCCAATTTTATGCACATTCCTTTCATATATTAAATGGGTGTTTTGTCGAGCTACTTAGAGCTCTACTATTTAGGGCTTGGATGGTAGAATCCACGTCCCCGGTATACGTGAAAATCCACTTATTTAAACACTGTTGTGTTCCAATATATATAGGATAAAACGGAAAGGAAAAATTGTGTAGTATATCAATGTAGAAGTATTGGTAAAAAGCACGGTATTCTTCTTACAAGGTTTAGAGCAAGGACTTGCTTTGGTGGTAAAATCCCACCTGGAATATGCAGGAACCAGGAATGGAGTCAGGAGTATGAAGTGATTTAAACGGACTTAAAAAATATTATATTAAATAATTAACCTTGTTGCGTATAAAATCTCTCTCTCTCTCTCTCTCTCTCTCTCTCTCTCTCTCTCTCTCTCTCTCTCTCTCTCTCTCTCTCTCTCTCTCTCTCTCTCTCTCTCTCTCTCTCTCTCTCTCTCTCTCTCTCTCTCTCTCTCTCTCTCTCTCTCTCTCTCTCTCGTGTCTCAGTAAAGCTAAAGTCAAGAAACCGGCAACTGAATAGAGCACCTGCCTTCTTAAAAGACCACTCTAGGCACCCAGACCACTTCAGCTTAATGAAGTGGTCTGGGTGCCAGGTCCAGCTAGGGTTAACCCATTTTTTTTATAAACATAGCAGTTTCAGAGAAACTGCTATGTTTATAAATGGGTTAAGCCTTCCCCCAAAGCCTCTAGCGGCTGTCTCATTGACAGCCGCTAGAGGCGCTTGCGTGATTCTCACTATGAAAATCATGCGACCGGCTGAATGCGCGCGCAGCTCTTGCCGCGCGTGCGCATTCAGCCGACGGGGAGGAACGGAGGAGGATCGGCGACAGAGAGCTCCCCGCCCAGCACTGGAAAAAGGTAAGTTTTTTACCCCTTTTCCCCTTTCCAGAGCCGGGCGGGAGGGGGTCCCTGAGGGTGGGGGCACCCTCAGGGCACTATAGTGCCAGGAATACTAGTATGTTTTCCTGGCACTATAGTGGTTCTTTAATGTCTTTGGTTGGAGAGCCACAGAAAGTCTGAGCTGGGTTAGAAGGGGAGTGTTTTTTTAAAATAAATCTGCAGCTTTTACAAGCTGTTTTGATATATGCATCTTATCATATGGTGTGTATCTACTAGACAGTGATATTTATTTTTATTTGGGCAGGGCAGTGTTTCTTTAAACAAGGTGGAGTGGTTCTTTAATAACTTTGCTTGTCTTTTGTCACTGTCATTTGTACTACTCTGGCTACCCTAAAGGTGCTATAGATGGTGTTTTCAGGAGCAATGCCAGCGCTCTGTGCATGTAGTAAGAAACCATTACAATGGCACTTCTCAAGGGAAATTTCTCTGCATGTGTTTAATTACGGTGTAATCAGGCATTTCGTGTTGTGTGTTGAACCAACATATTGTTTCCCTGGGAGAAAATACAGGCTGCAGGTATGTAATTATATAAATTAGCATTTTAACCGCATAAGGGGAGAGAGGCAGTTGTCTAACGTCTGAACCAAAATAAAATAATTTGTTGTGTGGTTGTTCCACCTTATTTAACGGTTTCTCTTCAAGTGCATCCGTACATATAACATATTGTTTTTGTAAAAGACTGAAATGGCTTTAAAGTCATCCAGACCACTTCATCTCAATGAAGTGGTCTAGGTGCTGTGCACTTAGCCCTGCACTCTAATACATTTTTCTTTATTTTTTTTATTTTTTTTTTAATTCTTTTTATTTTTGCAATGACAGAAATTGCAGTATAGCCACAATATAAGGGCTTCTGCAAAAGCCAAGTCATGTTTTATACTTCGATGTCATTGTGATACAGAAAGGAAATCTTGTAGCATTAGAACATGTATTGTGTCATACAGTAGTAACTGGCATATTCACAATCTTTCAGAGTTTTTAGATTTTTTTTTTTATATAATGCAAAGGAAAAAGAAAAACAAATAACTTTGAGAATTGTAGATTATGCTAGCGTAGTGTACAGATAATCTTAATTTTAATAATGACAGGAGGCGAGTATTTTGCATAAACTTTCTTTACTTTATGCCTCCAGCAGCACAAGTCAATCAATCAGAAAAGAAAAAGTGTTTAACCAATCAGAGTCCAGCACCTCTTGTATATAAGTCCCTGACAGGCTTCCCATTTCCTCTTTCTTTGTTGTGCCCATGCCGGAACGCGAAAAACTCTTTCGTAGATGAAGAAAAACTTGAACGGAATAACTTGTCAACTTGTGGAAACGCAGAGGACATCTATGATCCGACTTCTGTCTCATGAAGTGATGTTAAGCTGAAAGAAATAGAAAGAAGTGAAAGGCGTGGGAAAACAACTGTTGTCCGCATATCAACATTTAATCCTAGTCTTAAAGCTAGCAAAACTAACGTTAGTATCTAAATCTAAACTAACAAAATCAACGTTAATATCTCTGACAGACATATAATCCTGTGTACATTGAGTGGTTCAATTCTGATCTGAAAATGTGCTAACTAGTAAACGACATCTGGTCTAAGCGTCCCTTGTCTCCGTTTTTTACCCATAGCTAGATGAAATTGTATGTGAATCCTCAGAGTATAGGGAGGGAACAAAAAAGTAAGGGGGGGAAAATACTCGCCTCCTGTCATTATTAAAATTAAGATTATCTGTACACTACGCTAGCATAATCTACAATTTTATTACATGACAGGAGGCTTCCTATTTTGCATTTTTAACGCTGGGGTAAAAACGCTAAGGACGCGTGTGATGATTGGCGAAAGTAAAACACCCTGAAGGTATTTTTTCTGGTCCAATCCGCCGTACGTAGAATGTCCGCCAGGGAGGCACCCGCCGAGAAGGCCCTAGATGCCGCCGCCCCTCGAACCGAATGGGCACCGAAACTAGCATCTATCCCGGCTAGTGACAGTAACCACCGTATCCATCTAGCTAACGTAGTAGTGGTAACTGGTTTGTATGGTCTGGTATAAGAGATTAACAGCTGTCCCGTTCCGTTAGCCCGAAGAGGCGCCGTAACCTCCACATAACGGAGTAAGGTGGAGACGACACAAAGACGAGGAACCGCCGGAAAAAATGGGTAGGACACGGATTTGGAGTCCGTCTTAGTCCTTCGGGATATCAAAAACGTAACACCGACGGGCGTTATAGTAAAGCCGTCCACGTCGAAAGCCCGAACATCCGATACCCGACGGAAAGAGACTAAGCATAATAACAAAGTAAGTTTGGCCGCTAATTGTCTGAGTGATAGAGCAGAGTTATCCGGCCAGTTCTGAATGAATCGAATGACCACATCCACATCCCATAACTGGCGATATTTCGGAGTCGGTGGTCTAGCCAATTTGATGCCTCGTAATAGTCGACATATTAAGGCTTCCTGACCCACTGGGGTACCGTTAACTGGAACATGCGCCGCCGATATAGCGGATCGTGTAACGTTAATGGACCGGTATGATTTCCCGTTGGAAAACAAAGTGGAAAGAAAATTTAGTATGGCCGATACAGGTGCTGTAAAGGGATCGAGGCTCCTTCCCAGACACCAGCGGTCCCATACATCCCATGCTGCCATGTAGCTGCGTCTAGTCCCTGGTGCCCAAGAGTCCCAAAGGAGGTCCTTAGCCGTTTGCGATAAGCCTGGGATTGCCCAAGATCCCCTGAAAGCGTCCAAGCTACCAACTCTAGACGTTCTTGAAGTATGAGAGGATGAGGTTCCGCATCCGGATTCGTAAGAAGCGTGGGAAACGTCGGTAGGACCAGCGGGTGGTCGTGAGATAGTGCGAGTAAGTCGGGGAACCATGCCTGGCTTCTCCACAAGGGTGTGATCAGGATCAGCGATGTCTTGGATGTGCGTAGTTTGTGGAGCACTCTTGCTAACATTGAGAATGGTGGGAAAGCATACGCTCCCATCGAAGGCCAGTGTTGTAGAAAGGCATCCACTGCTTCCCTCTGGGGGTCCGGTAACCAGCTGTAGTACCTCGGTAGTTGTGTATTCGTGCGTGAGGCAAAAAGATCTATGTGGAGTGGTCCCCTGATCGATCTCACCATATTGAAGATCTCTGTGTCCAGATGCCAGTCGCTGGAGTCCCGCCAATGACGGGAGAACCAATCCGCCGTGAGGTTGTTGAGGCCTGGTAAGTATTCCGCTCTGAGAGTTATGTTGCGAGGGAGGCAAAACTGGTATATGTCTTTGGTAGCCTCCGTCAATGTTCGTGACCTGGCTCCTCCCAGTCTGTTCACGTATTGGACTGCCGATATGTTGTCCATGCGTAGAAGTATGCAACAATTGGACACGTGCTTGGCCAGGCTGCGGATGGCGAATGAGCCGGCTATCAACTCTAGGCAATTGATGTGTAGTGACTTTTCCTCCTCCGACCAGGGGCCCCCCGTGGATGCGTGTGCGCAGTGGGCTCCCCAACCCCACAGGCTGGCATCCGATTCCAGGATGAAATCCGGGTTCGAGCCGAATATGGCCCTGCCGTTCCAAGCTTCCATGTGGAGCAGCCACCAACGAAGTTCCGTCCGAACTTCCGCGGTTATCCTGATCGCCTGATCGTACGAGTGTCCTTGTCTCAGATGGTGAGTTTTCAGTCTTTGCATGGCTCGGTAGTGGAGGGGTCCCGGGAAAATTGCTTGTATGGAGGACGAAAGTAGGCCGACAATCCTGGCCAGCAATCTCAGAGGGACCGTGTCTTTCCGTAGAAAACGGCGTATCTCCTTCCGAATATTCGCAATCTTTGCCTTGGGAAGGCAAAGCGTGCATGTTACTGAATCTATATCGAATCCGAGGAACTGCACGACTTTCGATGGGGAGAGAGCTGACTTTTCCATGTTCACAATGAACCCCAAGGATTCCAGAAAGTGCACTATGAATTTCGTCTGAGATCGTAGTTTGGAGGCGTTGTCGCAGAAAATCAGTATATCGTCTAGGTAGATTAGGCATCGGATCCCTCTTGTCCGTAAATGTGCCATGGCTGGCTTCAGTAGTTTCGTGAAGCACCAAGGGGCGGAGCTGAGGCCAAATGGGAGGCACGTGAACTGGCATGTGCGTCCTTTCCAGTGAAATCGAAGGAAAGGTCGACTGGACTGTGCCATCGGAACTGACAGGTAGGCATCCTTTAAATCCAGACGGGTGAACCAGTCGTGTTCCAGCAGTAGATCTCTGAGGAGGTGTATGCCCTCCATTTTGAAGTGTCTGCAGGCTACGAATGAATTCAGGCTGCGTAGGTTGATGACGGGTCGGTAGTCTCCTGTCTTTTTCTGGACCAGAAATATGTTGCTGATGAAACCTGTGTCGTCGGGAGCAAATTCGACTGCCCCTTTGAGGAACAGCGCTTGGATCTCGTCGTCCATGAGCTTGGCGAGTTCCGCTGACGTCCGTATCGGTTGTGGTCGACGTGTTTGGGTCGGTGTGTGCGCGCGAAATCGATCTCGTAGCCCTTGATTGTTTGAAGGATCCAGGCATCGGAGGATATCTTTTCCCAGTTCTGTGAAAAAAGAGACAGTCTGCCAGCAGTGACATGAGAGCGGCACAACGGTACTTGAGGGGTGCTCACCTGTATTGAAGCGTCCGCGGGTACGAGCTCCTCTGGGTCGGAAGGTTCCTCTCGAGAAGGGTGGTCTCGATGGGAAGAACGATTGAGAAGCTTGATTCCTGGGGCCTGTTGGCCAGAAACGGCTGGTGGCTCGGCCCCGATGGCGACCAGCCCTGCCGAAAACCCCTCTGGTTGGAGTAGGGTTGCGAAAAACTTGTTTAATGGAAGTCTGGGCTTTGCTCAGTGTCGTAAATAAGTTCACATGTTTCTTTAGCTCTCCAATGAAGGCTTCTCCGAATAGTTGGCCATTGGCCCGTGGCCCCAGTTCCTTCTTGCCGAGTTCCAGGAGCTTGGAGTCCATCTTGAGTAGTGCGGCTTTGCGTCTCTCCGCACAGAGTGCGGCGTTGGTGTTGCCCAATAAGCAGATCGCGCGTTACGCCCATTCCCTGACATCGTGGGCGTCTAAGGCATTCCCCTGCGTAAGCGCTCCGTCTGCGAGGTACAAGATCTTAGCTAGTGGGCCAAGTATATCCAGTAACTTGTCTTGAGAAGCTTTGAGACCCTTCTCAATGCCCTTACGTGGGTCACGGCCCGTCCGCGACATGAATAAGACCACCGTGGTGTCGAATTCCGGCGTGTGAGCAATCTTGTCCGGTAGACTGGGTCTCGGACACTCGGCCTTCAGTCTTGCCCGTACCTCTTTGTCCATTGGCTGTCGTAGCCAAAAGTGAATAAATTGGGCTAAATGGTCCGGTAGGCCCCATTCCGATGATCTCGGGTGACGTATCGCACGCGGATCAAACATCGGGGTGCCTTGGGGGTCCACAAAGGTGCCGTCCTCTAGGCTGTCTGCCTGTGTGTCGACCTTCCAGTGTCCATGACGGGCGTCCTGTTCCTCGACCAGTTCAGACCCCGTGTGGCCGCGGGGTATGTCAAACCAGTCGTCCTCCTCAGATGGGGAGTCCTCCGCTCTCCACTCGTCCATAACCTCTAGCGGGGCTGGTGAGTTACCTCCCTCTTCATCGGATGATGTCAGCGGAGGGGTTGACGGACCCAGGCGGTCCGCCTGCCGGCTCCTCTTGAGTGGAGCCTTGCCCTTTGTCGTCCGTGGGGCTGGGCCATTGCCCTTCCAGTGCCTTTTGGAAGGGGCACTATCCCCTGAAGACTTCTCTGGGCCCTTAGTATCCGGATCCCCATGTGGGGTTTGGACCAACAATTTTGCTATGGCCTTTTCCATTGAGGCCGCCACCGCTGAATTAATTAGCGCTTGAAAGTCGGGTGGAGTTTGTTGTGAAGGTTCACCCATGTTCATGGCCGTAGTCTCTGTCTGTGGAAGACAGGATAGGGTCAGGTACCGAAGTACGTGAATAGTAAAACCAGCAATAAAGAGTTGCGGCGTTCCTCCTACGACTGGGGGTCATCTAGTGTGGCCAACGGGCCCAACCAATTATCCTGTCTTGTAGTATATTACCACTGCCTGTAATCCAGGGCTAGCGAGGGGGTCACCCTCCAGAAGACCGGTATGAGCGGTCAGAGATAGAAAAAACAATTTGCCTAGGCCGTAGAGCCTGGTAATGGTACGGGCCGTGCCCTTAAATTCAAAGCCCAGTGGGGAATTATTAGGATAGATTCTCCCTCCTGTGGAGGAGGAGTGTGTAGGACACCCCAGTCGTAGTATGGAGGGTGCCGACCATGCGTATCAGCAATATATGGTAGGGGGGTCACCCCGCTCTTCAGATAATACGGCACACGCCTGGGGGTCACCCAGCGCAGGGGGGTCACCCCTTAACAACAATAAACAGTGTGCCAGTGGGGGGTCACCCCACTCAGAGGGGTCACCTCTGGAAGGGCTGTTTTTTGATTTTATTTATTTATTTATTTGATTTGATTTATATATAGTATTGCACCAATAATAGACAGGCAGGGTTGTTACTGGATGGTGCCTTATGTTTGTTCAGAGTGGCAGCAGTACAATCACAGCACAAAAGGTGTCAGGCTAATTAAAATGGAAAAGAAAAGAAAAGGAATGAGCAAAAATCTCCCTCTCCCAGGCCCCCTGCCTCTATGGAGGGAACCTGGGAGGCTGAGAGTGATAGGAGTGGGGATGGACGACGACCGTGTGATTCACGGTTTCCCCACCTAAGATGGCTGACTTGGATCTCGCGAGCAGCGAGATCCAAGATGGCCGTTCGCGCCAAAAGCTAAGCGCGGCCCGTGATCGTGGTGATCGCGGGCCGCAAGTGAAAATGGTCCCCCGCTCCCCCCCCGCCCACCCTGAACCGCCCGACAAGAAGGGAGATCCCGGCCGCGGTATCCAGCCGCGACCACGGCAATTTAAAGCCGCGATCGCGGCAAAGAGCCGCGAGCACAAGCGAAAGGCAGAACCACTGAGGAGGGGGGGGAGACAGGGGAGAGGTGTAAAATCCGAAAAAAACAGAAAGTATCAAAATAAAAGACAGTAATAAGGTCACTAGTACCCAACTAATACTGAAAATAATTAAAGCAACAGAGAATAACAATAAACAGTATAGTCAACAATTACAGACAAAATCACTCTGACCTGTGTCTTGGCTGGAAGCAGCAAAGAAAGAGGAAATGGGAAGCCTGTCAGGGACTTATATACAAGAGGTGCTGGACTCTGATTGGTTAAACACTTTTTCTTTTCTGATTGATTGACTTGTGCTGCTGGAGGCATAAAGTAAAGAAAGTTTATGCAAAATAGGAAGCCTCCTGTCATGTAATAAAATTTGCTACAACACCACAGTGCTGGGTCGCTGATGGATAGCGAGATGGTGTGAGTCTCGAGCCACACCATAATAGGGGACAGGGAGCCAGATGATTGCCATTTCTTCAAGGATCCCCCTGTCCAACCACCCCAGAGACCCCCGGGAGTCCGCTGGCCAGGGCTCCTTTATGGGCTATGAGTCATGACCCCAACCGGAATCCCCTCTGAGGGAACAGGAGAGGAGGGGCACCTCCCACAGTGATATTTACTGCAGTAAGTGCTAACCAGACATTTGGAGACTTTTTTAAGGAGACAGGAGTGTCGCCCCTCTGGAGGCGGGCGATGAGGCACATGCCTATGAACATAGTAGTGCGCCTCAAGCAAACCTATGCTTATAACCAATCTCTCTTTTAAGTAGTGACACTGCTCTGCAGCTATATACAAACTAAGGCTAAATTTGTATAATGTATATTGTATAACAGGTTGATAATTTAAGTATACAACATGCCCCACATTCACGTTAGAAATTAGTGATCCCCGCTTCAGTAGGGGTTCCGTATCATTTTAGTCTCACTAGGGCTCATGGGGGACCAGAGCAAGAAGATTTATCATGGTAGGTCTGTTTTGGAATGGGAAAAAAACTGTAAAAAAAAAACTGTACATCTTTCTCAAAAGGGAACAAATATTCTCAGTGAGCAGTTAAGAGGTTTTGCTAGGATGTATTTAAACTAGAATGGTGGGGTCAAAAGGGTGATACAACATAAAACCAATTGCCCCCCCAAAACAAAGACAGAAGGTGCCTATAGCAAGTGTTGTAAAAATTATAAGCTTAGAGTCATGTCTACAAATGCTCGCAGTTTAGGGAATAAGATCCATGAAATAGTGGCAATAATGGCAACTGATAATGTAGATTTAGTCGCTGTTACTGAGACATGGTATAATGAGAAAAATGACTGGGGCATAGCAATACCAGGGTACTCTTTTTATATAGAAAAGACAGGGAAGGCAAGAAAGGGGAGGGGTGGCATAGAGTCTGTTTGGATTACGTTAGAATTTGGTAATCCCATAGTAACTTGTGTAGGTGTGATTTAAAGGCCCCCAGGACAAATAGAAGAGCTAGATAATCTACTAGTTGTGGAAATAGCTAAAATGACAATGAAGGGGAGATTTATCATTATGGGTGACTTTAGTCTTCCTGATGTGAACTGGAAAACCAAAATAGTTGCTTGTGCCAGGAGCACACATATTCTAAACTCCCTACTGGGATTGTCTCTAAAACAAGTCATTGAGAAGCCAAACTCGTAAAGAGGCCATACTAGATTTAGTGTTAACAAACTGAGTTTTGGTATCCGATATTACTGTAGGTAAGAGGTGAGGATCCAGTGATCATCAGTCAGTGTGGTTTAATATAAGAACAGTGGCTGAGTCACACCACACAAAAACAAAAGTTTTAGACTTAAGAAAAACAGACTTTTATTTATTTTTTATAAAACTAGAATATGTGTAAAGGAGTCATTATCAGACTGGAGCAATTTAAATGGAGTCCAAGAGAAATGGGTTTATTTAAAAGTTGCACTGCTGAAGGCAACAGAAAATTGCATTAGGCTTGTCAGTAAGAGCAAAAAATTCAAGAAACCACTGTGGTACAAAATGGTAAAAAAAACTAAAAGTTAGCATTTAGTAATTTATAAAAAATATCCAGTGTGAGGAAGATAGATAGATCTATAAGATTAGGCAAAAAGAGGCTAAGCAAGAGCTTCCAAATCACATACAGAAGAGAAAATTGCCCAGCTAGTAAAAAAGGTGGATAAAACATTTTTTAGATACATAAATGAGAAAAGGAAAGTAAAACAAGGATTAGTTGGATTAAAAAAAAAAAGAAGGAAGGTATGTAGAAGAGGATAAAGGTCTCGCTGACTGCCTCAATGAATATTTTTGTTCAGTATGTTCAGTATTTACAGATGAAAATGAAGAAAAGGGGCCTCAGTTAGGAAAAAGGACAAGTGAGTCATTTGTTACATGTGAGTTTACAGAGGAAGAGGCTCTATTTCAACTGTCAAAAGTAAAGACAAATAAGTCAATAGGACCTGATGGAATACACCCAAAGTTATTAAAAGAGCTTAGTGGTTTACTAGCAAAACCATTAACAGATTTATGTAACCAATCATTAACAGGAATAGTCCCAGAAAATTGGAAGTTAGCGAATGTTGTCCCCATTCACAAATACCTCTCTGATTTTATGACAAGGCTCTATCTCCCTTCCTGACTCCAGCAATTAACATTTGCTGTTAAATATCCATCATCCTGTAACATCCTATGTTATTTAATTATATATTAATATTTTTAAGCAGAATAAAGTTAAAGAAAAATTAAGTCTGATGCGTATTGATTTTTCCAACTGACAAACCGTAGCGAAGAGGGAAAAAATAAAAAAATATGTATGTAATGCATTAAAAAAGAGGTGAAGGGTTGTATTGTTACAGCCTTGAAATCCAAGCCTTACTTCAGTAGTGGGGAAGGTAATGGAAACCATGTTAAAGGATAGGATTGTTTGAACACCTAAAATCACATGGATTTCAAGATCAGAGACAACATGGGTTTACATCTGTTTGATTTTTTTTTTTTTTTTTTGGGGCAACTAAAATAATAGATCAGGGTGGTGCAGTAGACATTGCTTACCTAGATTTCAGTAAGGCTTTTGACACTGTTGCACATAGAAGGCTTATCAATAAACTGCAATCTTTCAGTTTGGATTCCAATATTGGCAGTGGCTGAGTGACAGGCAACGGGCAAGTGACAAGGCTCTATCTCTCCCTTCCTGACTCCAGCAATTAACATTTGCTGTTAAATATCCATCATCCTGTAACATTCTATGTTATTTAATTATATATTAATAATTTTAAGCAGAATAAAGTTAAAGAAAAAGTAAGTCTGATGCGTATTGATTTTTCTAACTGACAAACCGTAGAGAAGAGGAAAAAATAAAAAATGTATGTAATGCATTAAAAAAAAGAGGTGGAGGGTTGTATAGTTACAGCCTTGAAATCCAGGACACCCGTGGAACCATAACCACTGTAGCGAGCTATCATGGTTGTGATGCTTGGATTCTTCTTTAAAGGATCACTATAGTGTCAGGAAAACAAAGCGGTTTTCCTGACACTATAGTGCCCTGAGGGTGCCCCCACCCTCAGGGTCCCCCTCCCATGGCACTGAAACCCCTTCAGCAGCTTACCCTAATCTAGCGCCGGGCTCCCTCGGCACTGGGGACCTCTCTCCTCCCCCGCCGACGTCAGCTCCTCCGTCTGACGTCAGCGGAGCCGAATGCGCATGCGCGGCAGTGCCGCGCGCATTCAAAGTGTCCATAGGAAAGCATTTCTCAATGCTTTCCTATGGACGCTCTACGTGATGGAGGCATAATATGCCTCCAGCGTCGCAGATGCGCCTCTAGTGGCTGTCTGGAAGACAGCAACTAGATGCTGGATTAACCCAAATGTAAACATAGCAGTTTCTCTAAAACTGCTATGTTTGCATCTGAAGGGTTAAAACCTGAGGAACCTGGCACCCAGACCATTTCATTGAGCTGAAGTGGTCAGTGGCCTGGGTGACTATAGTGTTCCTTTTCAAGGACATTTTCTGCCACTGTAAAAATCCTTTATAATAAGAACCTCAATAGAAAGAAAACCATTAATGGTTAGTATTCTCCCATAATAAAACTCTGATGCATGTGGTGCACTATATTATTATTTTAGTTTTAGTAACATTTTAATTATTTTGATGTTCACAGTATAGTGTGCCCTAGTTTTGCACAATTTCAGAACTAGTATCTGTACCCTGTCAGACATGCTAGAGTAGCCTGCTTTAGCTCGTTCTTCTAACATAAAAATTAGGTATTACCAAACATTTGAGAATTGTCATATTGTTTTTTGCCTTGTCATTTGTTGTTTGCCTTTTGAATATCTTCCTGCATGTATTTCATTATTCTTATTGCAATAATAAAAAAAAAATTGACACAAAAAAGTGTGGATTCTCCTTTCGTGCCTACTTCATGTCAGATAATAAAATGTGGCTTTGTTTTCAGAAACAGAAGCAAAAGAAGACACGGATGATGATGATGTTGTTGATGACGACGATGAGGAGGATGATGATGATGATGGTGTAGTGAAAGAAGAAAATGGTGTATTGATACTCACAGATAAAAACTTTGATACATTTGTTGCTGATAAAGATACAGTGTTGTTGGAATTCTATGCCCCTTGGTAAGTGTCAATATTATTCCATGGAAAATGATTAACTTTGTAATAATAGCTTATATGTAAGAGCAAATAATAAGGGAGCAAGCTTGGAAACATCCAGCGGTGGAAGTACCGCGGTTGCAGCTGCGACCAGGCCCATCACGTAATGGGGCCTGGCTGCCCTGTCGACCCCTGCGACTAAGGGGTCCGCCGGCATTGTGGTGCTGCCCCAGTTTGTCTGCATAGGTATCTGTGTGACTGCATTGTGTCAGTGTGTGCCCCTATGTATCCGAATGTGTCTGTCTCACTGTTTGTATAAGTCTCATTCCATGTATCTGAATGTTTGTCATTAAGTGTGTCTACATGTGCATGTCTGTATCCGCATGTGTGTCAGTGCATGTCTGCGTATCTGTGCCTTGCGGTTTCTTGTTACTCCTTTGGCAAAAAACAAATTCTTGCCAACTCACATATTGAAGTGTCAACCCATTCTAGCCTTGAGCCTTCATTTTCGAGAAATTATTTCGTTTTAATATTTATGATTCTCTTCCTGCAAACCATTGGCTATGAGGTGTGCTATATTTATTTTATTTTACATTGTATGCCAGACTACCTTCATGCAAAATGATAAAGTATTGCAATTTATTGTAATAAATATTTTATTGGTCAAACAGAAATTTGTAGTGACGTGTTTTTGAGAGTTCCTACTTTTATCAAGTCTGAAGCATAAAAATGCTTTTGGACTTGATAAAGGGAGAAACTCCAGAAAACGTGTAACTCTGTATAATATTAAATGAGTTGCGCAATAAAATTTAAGTGAGCTTGAACTTAATGCAGCTGTAAAAAAAACAAAAAAAAAAAAAAAATTGCTCTTTTTTTTTTTTTGCCTAAATGAACGACTAATCTTAATATTCTAATATTGATTGTATATTGAATATTCACCCACACTTAACCATTGCCTTTCTTGTTAAAATGTAATGCCATTTGCAACTTTATTCTACTTCAGGTGTGGTCATTGCAAGCAGTTTGTTCCCGAATATGAGAAAATTGCTCAGACCTTGAAGGAAAATGATCCTCCTATTCCTGTTGCTAAAATTGATGCCACAGCAGAAACAAAAGTCGCTGGCAAATATGATATAAGTGGATATCCTACTATCAAGATCCTCAAGAAAGGCCAGGCAGTTGACTATGATGGCTTAAGAACAGAGGAAGGTAAAATTCGGTGTTGCCATGCTTTGTGTAATGCACATTGCAGATTTTACCATATAGTCTGGGGTGTAGGTTTCATCTATATGAAATTCAATATTGTAAGGTAATGCGGGAAGAACAATGTTGAAACATATCCCTGTCCTAGCAAATTGTACACACAGTTTGATGTACCTTAGAAAATCGGTCCATTCATTAATGGGTCACTCTAAGCACTAAGACAGAGCTTGACAAATTGGGGAGAAAAAAGAAGCATAACCACATCTTTCCCATGCAATCGGAGGGGTTGTGGTTACCTAAACACACACACTCTCTGACAAATGGACACACTGACAGAAACCCACTCACTGACAGACATTCTCTCACACAGTCACAAATTATTTGGTTAATTTACAGCCACTCCACCTCCTTCTCTTTGAAAAAGCTGGAGTGGACCCTTTCCCTGGGGTCCAATGGTGATCCTTCCCCCTCCTCCGATGTCATCGGATTGGGGGATCTAATGCGTAAGCAAAGCTAGTGCATTAGACCTTCCCCATAGGAAAGCATTGCCTGATTTTTATTGGCACTGGATGTCCACATGCAGAGCTTTAGGACATCCAGCGTTGTTTCACGGAGTCACACTGTAAAATTCCAGGATGCGCCTCTAGTGGCTGTCTGGTTTTCTTTAAAACTGCAGTATTTTATATTGCAGGACTAAAGGGGGACAGGGACACTGCACCCAGACTACTTAAATGAGATGACGTTTTCTGGGTGCCTAAAGTGTCAACAGGGGACCCTCTGGTTCTACCGGATGCAGTACTTTTTTTAAATTGTTTTTTATTTATAAAATGTGTGTGTGCGTTTTTTTTTTTTTTTTTTCTTTGTCATTACTATATCTATTTGTTTCAAATAAAATCATAAATCATTTTTACCTTAAAGTCTCTTTTCTCTCCTTTTTGTTTTTGTTTTCTTGTTTTCTTGATGTTATTATCAGAAACTTATAATGCTAATCTGCTTCCCAATCATAATTATAAGCATTCTGATCTGTTCCTAATTAATAATAATAATAATGCCAGTATTTCATTTACAAACTTGAATTGTAATCTGTACCAATTGTGTTAAATGCTGGTCATAGTAAGTTAAAGTTGATCCTTATCTCCTTGTATAAAGGGCTGACTGGGCATGAATGGAAAGTCTAAACCAAAAACAATACAGACAGATTACTATACAGACAGACAGACAGACAGACCTATATATACATGTAGTGATAGACCTTTGTGTGTCCTTGGTTGTTCTCTTCCTCCAGTCTGCAACTTATGTCTTCCCAGCAGCTCAGCTCACACTAAACATACAGCAAATCTATCAACTGAGCGTGGGTTCTGTTGGTGCTAGTAGTGTCCCTTTAATGTAATATTCCCTTAAAAGGAAGATTCATCCTTAACTAAATGCTGTAAATAATCTATTTCAGATATTGTGGCAAAAGTTAAAGAAATCGCTCAACCTGGCTGGACACCACCACCAGAAGCAACTCTTGTGTTGACTAAAGAAAATTTTGAAGCAGTAGTGGAAAATGCAGACATCATTTTGGTTGAATTCTACGCACCTTGGTAAGTACCCATGGTTGTTGTTATTTTTTTATTATTTTAACATTATTTTTGTGAAGCTAAATGGTTCTACTTGTTCTGTGTATGTAAGAGATCTTGAATGTAAGTATGTACAATACAAGGTATTGTAGCTAATACAATGTTTAAGTAAAGGGGAAAAAAAACAAAAGCAAACCCACATGCATGATGTGCTTGTCCTGTTTTTTGTTTTTTTTTTTCCAAATACAAACTAAAGAACAGCATGCGCACTAGTTCTGTTTTTAAGGTGCTTGTCCATGCCACTGTCCTCTCTCACATTGACTACTGCAATCCATTTTATGAGTCGTCTTGTGTGTTCCCAACTTGCCACGTTACAGTCTATAATGAAAGCGGCAATGAGACTCTTCTGCCTGCACCTCCCACGCCTCCCCCTCTCGGTACCTACATTGGCTTCCAGTAAGCTATAGGGCTCAATTTAAGATGCTGGTACTTACTTACAATCTCTACACAATGCTGCTCCGACCTACCTATCCTTACTAATACACAAATGTGTCACATCTAGGCCCATACGCTCTGCAGAAGACCTACGTCTATCCTCTGTTCATACTCCCATGGTACCTCTAGTGCTCACGTTAAAGACTCCTCTAGGGCTGCACCATTCCTATGGGCCGCCCTTCCCCTCTCTGTTAGACTTTCACCCAGTCTCCACTCCTTCAAAAAATCTTTGAAAACTTACTTCAAGAAAGTGTATCTATTAAACTATCAACAGCTTTCTCTCCCTGCACCCTAATTCCTCTCCTGCAACTGTCATCAAAACAAAACCATAAGTCCCCTCAGTGAATACTATCCTTACAACCTACTTTTCTACCCTTACCTTTTGTGTCACTATACCTCACTCCCTCAAGCATGTAAGCTCATTGAGCAGGGCCCTCAATCCCTTCGTTCCTGTGTGCCCAATTCGTCTAGTTACAAATATGTATCTGTTAGTCCACCCATTGTACAGCGCTACAGAACGTTTTGGCGCTTTATAAATAATAATACTGCAGTTTCCTTTTGACTGGTATTTCAGGTGTGGGCACTGTAAAAAACTTGCCCCAGAATATGAGAAGGCAGCACAGGAGCTAAGTAAGCGTGAACCTACCATACCTTTAGCAAAAGTGGACGCAACTGTTGAAACAGAGCTTGGCAACAAGTATGGAGTATCTGGATACCCAACACTGAAGATATTCCGGAAGGGAAAAGCTTTTGATTACAATGGACCACGAGAAAAATATGGTAATTTGGCCACTATTCAGTAAAGTGTGGGTTTTTCTTTTTTTTTTTTTTTTTTTTTTAAAAGTCTGCTTGTATAGTTTTTAAACTTTGTGGCTTTTTTATTATTTTGCAAGGAATCGTTGATTATATGATTGAGCAAGCTGGTCCACCATCAAAACAGATCCAGGCTGTAAAGCAGGTGCAGGAATTCATCAGAGATGGAGATGATGTTGTGATAATTGGTGTCTTTAATGGGGAGGAGGACAAGGCATACCAGCTCTATCAAGATGCAGGTAGGGACTGAATATCCACACACAAAATAGTAGAAGGAATGTTCATGTCCATACTGCTGTTCTGCTGTATTTAAGTAAATTTACGTACATGTATCTAATCTCAGTGTGTTATTGCATAAATATATTTACATTCACGCAGGATGGGTTACACGACTTTCAAACCTTGAGGTTCACAGAAAGTTACTTTATGTATATGTTGCATATGTATGTAGCTGAGATTTAAACTAGTCCCTAAGTTGCAAAATATGGTCTTTTCACTGCCTGTTTTGGTAATATGTTGGCTATTCTGTGTGTAATTTATTGCATAGATAACAGAGCTTTCTAGTCGTTGAAAGCGTGAAACTGGGAATTTTGTAATGTTTTTATGTAGATGCATTTAAAAGGTTTTTTTCTTTTTTTTTTCTTTCTTTTTTTTTCTTTCAGCAAACAACTTAAGGGAAGACTATAAATTTTACCACACCTTCAGTGCAGAAATTGTGAACTTCTTAAAAGTATCCCCTGACCAGCTAGTGGTAATGCAACCTGAAAAGTTTCAATCCAAGTATGAGCCAAAGAAGCAAGTTTTAAAATTCAAAGTAAGTACAATGAAATGCTTGCATATGCTTGTCAGTGGTGAACTGGGAATTTTTTTGAGAAAAAATATTTCAGTTGGTGTAGACCTACGATCCCTATTATGCTCTGGCAATCGTGGGATAAACAGTGTCATGTAAGATGTAGCTCTCTGTTGCCTTCCCTTACTCCGTAGCACTGAGAGCCAGTAATGGAGGCCCTCAAAATACATCCTCGTAGATTGCCATCTTTCAAGTGAGAGAGACTGCGAGTGAATATATATATATATATATATATATATATATATATTATTTAAATTGCACTGAGTAGCAACATTTAGCGAAAATAATCCCCAAAATGGCTTGTCTCTTAGCTTTAAGTTTACTATTCAGATTTGAATTCACTACAAGTCCCCAATTAGGTTTTTCATTTTTGCAGTAAAGAGCACATAGAGGACCGATGAAAATTCTGAGTTATTAAGTAAAATTCACTTTAAATTCTTACTTTAGTAAATAACATTGATGGTGTTTAGGGGGAAAATACAAACGCATATCTTGCCTCTGTTTTACTTTCAGGTTTTTAACCATTCAGTAATCGGACTACAATAATAGTAATCCTGAAATGAAAACCTGCCCTAAAATTCTGGAACAAACTCTAATTAATTATTGCTCACCTTTATTAATTATTGTAAATAAAATAATTAACCCCTTAAAACCGGAGGGCGTACTATAATGCCCTATTCTAAGTGGCTCTAAACGCCGCAGGGCGTAATAGTACGCCCTCACGGTTTTTGTTGTGTACCCAGTCGCCGGCAATCCCACGCCGGTGATCGCGGTCAGGGGACTCACCTGGATTCCCAGGGAGTCCCCCGCGGCGAATCCTACCTCCTCCGCCACCCCCCCTTGGCCATGTGAGAGTGAGGTCCTCACAATCACATGGCCGGGTTAGCTGGCTGCTGCATTGCCAGCAGGGGGACTGCCTGTAATGACACACACACACTGTCTAGGTGTATTTTACTATTAAAATATTATATATAATTTATTAATATCAAATTACACGTAGACTGATACTGATTAAATATATATATCATTATTGTTATATATATATATATATATATATATATATATATATATATATATATATATATATATATATATTATAAAAAATAAATATGTAAATACGTTAAAAATAAAATAAAAAAATATTAAAAATAAATAATTAAAATATATAGATGTGTTATTTCGTTCTAACTGTATTGTGATATATATTTATATAAATACACGTATATATATAATATATATGTATATATCACGTATGTATGTATATGTGTAATATTTTTACATAATTAGCTATTTTAATTAATTACAAGTAGCGGGAACTGCCTGTCAACCCATGCCGAAAGTATAGGGAATTTAATTTGCTAGCACTATATTTAACCCTATAACTTCCCAAGACACCATAAAACCTGTACATGGGGGGTACTGTTTTACTCGAGAGACTTCGCTGAACACAAATATTAGTGTTTCGAAACAGTAAAATGTATTACGATGATATCGCCAGTAAAAGTGACGTTTTTTGCACTTTTCACATACAAACAGCACTTACACGGTGCTGTGATACTTTTTACTGTTTTGAAACACAAATATTTGTGTTCAGCGAAGTCTCCCGAGTACAACAGTACCCCTCATGTACAGGTTTTATGGTGTTTTCAAAAGTTACAGCGTCAAATATAAGGCTTGTGTTTCATTTTTTTCACATTAAAATTCACCAGATTGGTTACGTTGCCTTTGAGACCCTATGGTAGCCCAAGAATGAAAATTACCCCTATGATGGCATACCATTTGCAATAGTAGACAACCCAAGGTATTGCAAATGGGGTATGTCCAGTCTTTTTTGGTAGCCACAAAATTGGCGTTTTTTGCATTTTTCACACACAAACAAATATTAATGCTAACTTTGGCCAGTGTTTGTGACCAAATGGCTACTAAAAAAGACTGGACATACCCCATTTGCAATACCTTGGGTTGTCTACTATTGCAAATGATATGCCAGTATGGGTGTAACTTTCATTCCTGGGCTACTATAAAGTCTCAAAGGCAACGTAACCAATCTGGTGAATTTCAATTTAAAATGTAACGTGCTATATTTGACCCTGTAACTTCCCAAAACACCATAAAACCTGTACATAGGGGGTACTGTTTTACACGTGAGACTTTGCTGAATACAAATGTGTATTTTATTGCAGTAAAAGCAAACAGTATTATGACATTGACAGTTAAAATGTCATGTAGAACTAAATAAATAACAACATTTCTTATTTTCTCCCATGTTTTTCATATTAAATTATGTTTCATAGCTAAACATTTGATGTTAAATGAAAGTCCTGTTTCCTCTGAATAAAATGATATATAATAAGTGTGGGTGCATGTAAAATGAAAGAGGTTCGTTTTGTTTTGTTCATAACGTGTACATTTGGCTCAGTCCTTAAGGGGTTAAGCACTGTCTCTGCTATGGGTGGGTGTCTGGTGGATATTTGATGGTTACCCTGCTACTATGCATACACCTTGGATGGTTCTTTGGTAAACATGGCATTGATTCTCTTAGCCTCTGCTTCTCTGGTGTATCTGCTCAGTCTGGTGGCCAGTGCTGTCAGTATTTGCTTAGCTGCTTCCAGTGCCTCTAGTATAGGCATATCCTTGTACTTATTCAGTAGCCAGGATCTATTCTTGATCTTTCCAACTCTGTTATGTCGATCTAGCTTACGAACTTCCTTCAGTGTTGTCATTATCTTGACTTCCAGTCGTATTCTCCATGCTGGGCATTACTTCTCTTTCAGCCTGATTTTGTAGTCAAGCAGCCGGAGGACCACTAATGCTGTTGGTCTCTGTGATGGTGCAAGTTGGGATTGTAGACAGAGCCTCATTAAAGGACCATTATAGGCACCCAGACCACTTCAGCTTAATGAAGTGGTCTGGGTGCCTGGTCCAGCTAGGTTTAACCCTTTTTTTTTTTTATAAACATAGCAGTTTCAGAGAAATCGGTTTAATTCAGCCTCTAGTGGCTGTCTCATTGACAGCCGCTAGAGGCGTTTGCGTGCTTCTCACCGTGAAAATCACAGTGAGAAGACGCAAGCGTCCATAGCAAAGCATTATGAATGCTTTCCTATGAGACTGGCTGAATGCGCACGCAGCTCATTCAGCCGGAGAGGAGGAGGAGAGCTCCCCGTCCGGCGCTGGAGAAAGGTAAGATTATAACCCCTTCCTCTCCCCAGAGCCCGGCGGGAGGGGGACCCTGAGGGTGGGGGCACCCTCAGGGCACTATAGTGCCAGGAAAACTAGTGTTTTCCTGGCACTATAGTGGTCCTTTAACTGCAGCTAGCAAGCTGTTTGGAGGCTGTGTGTATGTGTATGTGTGTGTATGTGTGTATATATGTATATATATATATATATATATATATATATATATATATATATATATATATATATATATATATATATATATATATATATATATATATTTTATAAAAAAAATTTTTTTTTTTTTTATTCATGTGATTTTGTGTTTGTTCTACTGACGTATGCATTCTGTTTGCTTGGCAGGATTCTATTACTGGTGCAGAGATTAAGGAGCATGTGACAAAGCACACCTTGCCTTTGGTTGGTCACAGGAAGAACTCTAATGAGGCCAAAAGATATGCAAAACGCCCACTTGTTGTTGTCTATTACAATGTGGATTTCAGCTTTGATTATCGTACTGGTAGGTCCATGATTGTTATAACTTGGGCTTCTATTAAATTCATTGGAAACCGCATCATAAATGACTCAAATTTATTTAATTTGTTAAAATTGATTTTTCTACAAAAATTTCCCTGGGCTTTAATAGTGACTTTTGTAGAAAAATCATTGGAATAATTTCTGATGCTGATTTAGACTAATTTTAGTACTTATCACATTTTTGTTCCTATCACTATGGGTCTTGTGTTCTGTATTTATGTATTATATGGATTTAAACTTATGATCCACTATACGCTTCTGTTCTGTGTTAAAAACATAGTTGGGATTTAGTTTAATATACATATGCACAGTTAGTATCTATTCTGTTCCCATTGCTTCTATGCATTGTGCTCAGTGTGACTCTCTTAAAGGTACACTATAGGCACCCAGACCATTTCATCTCACCGGTGTCTGGATGCAGTGTCCCTGTCCCGATAACCCTGCAATTGTAATTATTGCGGTTATTGAGAAATTGCAATAACTAGAGGTGGAGTTAACCCTGCAAGGTAGTTTCCATTTAAGAATGGTTACCAACACTGTCAAGGTTATTCCCTATAGTGAGCAATTTAAATTTAAGGCCAAAAAAACTCCACTTTAAAAAAATAAAAAATAAAATCTCTTGGAGTATTTCTCTGATTTGGCTATTTTGGCATAAGTTTTGAAATTCACTTGGAATTTCCAGCAATTCTCAATTTAGTAAAATTCCTTGCATATATCTGACTGTCTGAGTGATTGCATTTGCAGAATGAGAGGTGAAACTAGCATGTTTGCTTGTGATCACTGTGCTAATAAATGGCTTCAGGACAACCTGGTTTAATTTATACATTGTGATACTGATTTCTTGGTCTAGCTTATAGTATGTGTAACAGAAATTTGCTTGTTTATTTTATTAATATAGCAAAAAATTATGTACCTGGCATATGTATACATACTTTCAGCAATACTTGAGATCTTAGTTGACCTACTTACCACTAAGTTCACGAACTGCAGTAAAGAATACCACAATACTTAGCTGTACCCTAAAACACCCTGGGTCGTTTAAAAATAGAGGAAATAAATGTGCATCTAAAGCAGTGGCATGTTTTTTTAAAGTTTTATCTGTCATAGGTAGTTTTAGCAATTGCTGAAAAAAATATGTTGGCATAATGGATAGATTGCCTCTTATTCTCAAAAATGTAAGCTTATGGCAATTTGCATACATTTTAAGTGTCACTGTGCACAGTTTTGTACATAAAGACATTGTTTAATATATTAATGTTCATATATGTATAATTTAGTTGTGTTGTGTTTTTATTGTATTCTTTTTGTAGCCACCCAGTACTGGAGAAACAAAATTTTGGAAGTTGCAAAAGATTTCCCAGAGTACACATTTGCAATTGCCAATGAGGAGGACTATACAGCTGAGATGAAAGATTTGGGATTAAGTGAAAGTGGAGAGGAAGTAAATGTTGCAATTCTAGATGCTTCAGGGAAGAAATATGCGAAAGAGCCAGAAGAATTTGATTCTGATTCTCTAAGAGACTTTGTGGTGGCCTTTAAGAAAGGTAAGGTGTTGAACTTCCCATTGCAATTCCTTGTCTTCCTTTTTTTTTTTTATTTATATTTATTTTTTATTGTAATTTTAAAAATTATTTAGTGTGTGTGTGTGTATGTGTGTGTGTGTGTGTGTGTGTGTGTGTGTGTATATATATATATATATATATATATATATATATATATATATATATATATATATATATATATAAAAATAAATGTCTTCCTTTTCTAATTCAACGTGTGTGTGTGTATATATATATATATATAAACTTACTGTCATTTTTACTATGTGATCTTGCATCTACTGAGCAAGTGAAAATACTGGAAAGTATGACTTTTTTTCATTATTAACTTTATTTATTATTTTTTTTTTATTTAATACAGGGAAACTTAAACCAATTTTAAAATCACAACCTGAACCCAAAAACAACAAGGGACCAGTTAAGGTTGTAGTTGGAAAAAGCTTTGAAAAGATTGTGATGGATTCAAAATCTGATGTTCTTATCGAGTTCTACGCTCCATGGTGTGGACATTGTAAATCACTGGAACCAATTTATAATGATTTGGGTAAAAAATATAAATCTCAGAAAAACATTGTTATAGCCAAGATGGATGCAACTGCCAATGACATACCCAATGACAAGTACAAAGCAGAAGGATTTCCTACGATCTATTTTGCTCCGAAGAACAATAAGCAAAACCCAATCAAATTTGAAAATGGGAACAGAGATCTTGACGGATTAAGCAAGTTTATTGAAGAGCATGCATCAAAATCAACGAGAAAAGAAGAACTTTAACACCGTATATAATCTGTAAATATTTTTTTTTTTTTTTTACTTTTTTTGTTGTTGTTTTGATAAGAGATTGGTTGGACCAATTATGAGTACTTTATAAGTGGCTCAGATAATGAGATTTAGTTGTTGTCTTCTGAGATTTAACTTGATATGTGAAGTTCCAAAGGGTTTTTGGTTTTTTTTTGTGTTTTTTTTTTTATGGGTTGGATTTGTAGACCTTACAAATAAAAAATTTTTTCCCCCCAGTTAAGTTTTTCACTTACTGCAATAGCAGCTCAATTTGCTGAAACAAAATAATACACATTCTATTATTTTTACAGTATACTGTATGTTTTCTCCTACTTGATACAGCTCTTTAACAGTGGATTGTATAATAGATTTAGAACAATTGATGTTTTATTTTAGATATATACATACATTGATCTAGATACAGAAGCAGAAGGAATTTTGCATTTTGAAATGTTCTTTGCTTTCCAATCGCTGCACTGGAAAACTAGATATGTCTAAATCTAAGCAATACAATAAAGCATAAACATTTGGAAACAAACTGCTTACCTCGTTAGCCATACATGTAATACATACTTTGGTTTAGCAATATGCCTTTTTCTGTATCTATTGTGTCTAGTCTTATGTTTTAGTCATTTTGCGGCCCCAGAGCTGGCATCTTGACATTTGTTTCAAACCTTTTTATCATTGTGCGTTGCTCAGATTCGAATCATAAAAAATACATATTAAAGGGACATTTTAGGCATCAAAAGCAACTTTTAGCTTAGTGAAGCAGTTTTGGTGTATCATGCACTGCAGTCTCACTGCTCAATTCTTTGCCATTTATGTGTTAAATCATATTGTTTATGCAGCCCTAGCACCACCTCGCTGCATGTAACTCATTTAGCCTTCCTAAACACTTCCTGTAAAGAGACATCTAATGTTTAAATTCTGTTTTATTTTACATTCTGTTTAATTTGGAATTTCTTATCTCCTGCTCTGTTAACAGCCTTCTAGACTTGCAAGCGTATGTGTGATTTAAAGTTCAATTTACAAAGCTGGAGATAAAAACTTCTAAAACAAGTTAACATATGATTGAAAATTAAAACCTTTTTTTTTTCCACGTGTCAGTCACAGAATGGGATGTTTGGCTTGGGCTACATAAACAGAAACAAAACTGATGTAACTCCTAAATGGCAGAGGATTGAGCAGTGAGACTGCAGGCCCGATCTATACACTAAACCTGCTTTTTTATTAAACCCAAACAAATGTCTGTTCATTTCTTTTTCTTTTTTAATTATTTTTTTTTCTACTCCTTTTCCTTTCCTCCTCTCCATTTTTTTTTTTTAATTATTTTTTTTTTTTTATTGAACTTTATGGTCAGTAAATTTGTTTTATTTGTTGGAATGCAAGGATTGATTTTCTTATGGTCATCTAAGAAATCATGTATATTAGCATGACCTGTGGCCTTCCAAGAGTGGTAGAAGTGTTGAGCTTCCCTATCTTGAAAGTGTGGGTTATGTAGAAAAGGGATGAATCTGGGGTGTTGCTCCTGAAGCCCTAAATTTTGTTTCACTAATTTCCATGCTTTTATAAATAGTTGCCAGAGGATTTTCTTGTGTTTCCCCTCGGTGAGAGGCAAAGTGAGTATGTTGAGTAGTAATTGAGAGAGTCAAAAAAAGAAAATACAGGGGGGCGGGGCCTGACTGCAGAGCTGAGAGGACACTTGCCTCCATAGCTCCGGCTCAAACAAAGGCCACCCAGCAACAGGGGATATCGGGGAGCACACACTGATACTGCCCAAGCGACATTTCAAGCGACACGCACCCGACACCCTGATGCGGCCTACCAGCATGGTGAGTGCGGGAGAGACGGCCGCTCTCCTGCCGCCAAGAATGCCTGCAAGCACAATCCAGAACCCACGCCTCTCCCCCCCATGGCCCGGCGGGGGTTATCCCGGGCCGCTCCCACATGAGCCCCTGGACAAGCAGCGCCCAAACAAGTCTCACGCAAAGCCAGCTGGCAAATCCTGTGGCCAACAAAATGGCAGACGACCGGAGCACCGCGGCCTTGCGGCATGCCGGCAAAGAAACGGAGACTAGACTCGACTACATATTTGGCCTTTTCTGGGAAAAGCTGGAAGCGCTTGTGAGGCCTGAAGAACTAAGGGAGCAGCCTGACTCGGCACAACAGAGCCTGACTCAGAGGTTCAAAAAGAGGGAAGTGGAAAACCCCCGAAACCCCACTCCAAACACAGGCAGGCGTTGGCACAGGGCCACCCTGAAAACCATAGCTCGGCCTGCACCGAGGCCTGCAACAACGCCTACATTGAGGCCCGCACCTAGGATAGCACGTAAGAGCCATCCCGAGAAGAAACAAAGAGGGGGAATGCAGAAGGCATCACAACTTCAGAAAAGCCGCCACGCAACCCACAAATGCTTAACTGAATGCCAACCCATGCGAAGACGTGGCAAGTGCAGCCCACACCCTCTGGTGGTGTGTGAAACCCCGTCCACGAGCAGATTCCGAGCCTCTGACCGTGCCATTGACAGCTCTCAGATGAGGGAGAACCGGGGACTGGACTGGAGCTGGTGGGGTAGCTATGCAGGGACACTGTCATTTAACACACCACCACAAAGGCAGCATGGGTCAGTGGGCATAGGCTGACCACCCCACTTGAGAGCAGGATTGGGCTACTACTCCCTTTAGGTCACAGGTCTCATACCGGGCAATGTAGTGTACCCTGAACCAACATTCACCCACCTTATACTTTTAAATATTGACTACAAGTCTGCTTAACAACTTAAGTTGTTTCTCTCTGAGAGTTTAGGTTTTTTGTTTTTTTTCTTCCATTTTCTCCACACAGTTGGCACCGGTGGCAACATAACCTGTGATAATTTAGCATGATCTATATAGCCACCTCTCCACCTACCATAGAGCTTAGAAAGATTTGCATACTATGCGAACAGACATTACCGTTTAGCTCTAGGAAAGTATCACTAAGCATGTTTCTAACCTTCTCATTACACCTTTTTACTCGTGTTTAACTTAGCATAATTCTCATGTCCTGTTTATCAACCTGATTAAGCTATCTATGTGTACTTTAACTACCGGGACCAACATGTCTAGCTTGTAGAAATCTTAATGTTCTTCATATATGAGCATATAAATTGCCTCTCCACTACCATTTCGAGAGCTGCAGCGTGAAATAGACCCCAGTGGTAACAAGCTATTATGTCTCATCTATACCATGCCTTGTTTAAGCTTCACTAGCACCCAACATGTCTAGCTTTTAAAATTGTCAGCAATACTGCTCCTTTTATTGCCCCAACACATTGCATGCTCTTGCTTTGTCTTCCAGTTATTGCATAGCTAGCCATGGTGAACCAGCTTGACGTATACCTAACTGTTTTCTTCTTTTACCTTAAAAAAAGTATGCAAACCTAACTAGCCACACACCTGTTATACCTATGATCATTGAGCCTGCTACAGCTGTTGTGGCGATACAGGCACTGTTGTACTTTACCGCATACCAAAAATAAAGAATTATAAAAAAAGAAAACACAAAGTAAGGTGGAGTAACAAACAATTGTATCCAGTCTTGTATATACATCTATTAAATAAATAAAAACCAAAACAATAACCAAATAAAAACTTCACAGTAATGTAAAACATGCAGAAAAAAAATATACAAATAAAATCTATAACAATTACACCAGTGTGATGACAACCAGACAAAATCCAACTCAATAGCATAGATCATTGAAATTAGACTATTAGAATTTTAGAACAAAAGCAATGTTGGCAATATAGGAGAGCTGGTTTAAATCCTCAGTGTATGTTGAAGGTGCAGGATATATTAGGATGGAAAAAAAATGTCATGACACCAAAATACTGAGCGTGTAATAGTCATCCAAAACCTTCACTATAATGTCTGTAGTGACAACCTGCCAGTTTTATGTCAGGCGTTACTGAAATTATAAGCTTGTCTTATCAGATATAGCATGCCTCTATCAACTCACCAGAGATAAATGAACATCAGGAGGTAACAAGCTGCTAATCTGTTATTGTTAAGGCACATCTTAAAGACCCACAGGTCGTGTAGAGCAGTGGTCCCCTACCCAGTCCTCATGGACCGCCAACAGTCCAGGATTATGTATTTCCCTTTTTTATTCAAATGGAGATACTGACAAAACTTGGACTGTTGGTGATCCACAAGGACGGGGTTTGTGACCGCTGGTATTGATCATACAAAGTCCACTGAAAATAGATACCAGGCAGCACATAAACAGACGGCCTTTATAAGTGATAGAGATAAAACTGGAAGACCACAGACCATTAATTGTAGTTAAGAAGCCCAGGAGCGATTCAGCCTGCAGAAAGTATGGAACTGAATAAAGCAAGTAGTCAACTGTAGTTGAACATTGTTGGAGTGAGCAGCCCGCACTGGAAATAGAGGAGCTGGCAGCAGGCTATAATCAGTCGGCAAACCAGTCCAAAAGTGTCTCCGCACTATTAATAAGGCAAAATAACAGAAGGCACTAGGCAATAGTTGGGCTGCACAGAGCCAGGTAATCAAGCCATGTCCAGCACCGTCAACATTAATAATTCCTTAAAGTGCTTAATTCTCTGTTAACGTCACCTTCCCTACCAAAATCTGCACTGGAGGCTAACATTGCCGTGCTCCCAAAACCAGGCAAGGACTCCACGAACTGTGGTAGCTACAGAGCCATTTCACTGATAAATATTGATTTGAAAAGTTTTACCAAAATCCTGGCAACTAGATTGAAGTCATTGCTTTCGGGGCTAGTCCACCCTGACCAGTCGGGCTTTGTTCCAGGGAGAGAGGCCAAAAATAATACCACTAAACTCATAAACCTAATGCACTTGGGGGCCTTACTCGCGATCAATGCCGAAAAGGTGTTCAACAGGTGTTCGAACAGTTATGCCAACAGCACCCACTAACAAAGAAACTCGTCTCTTCCATGTATGTCATCCTGTGGGAAACACATGCCCAGACCCTCCCACACTTCACGGTGAAGTGGACGTAGGCGCTACAGATGACCCTCACACCTAAGCAGTGGAAAAAAAGAGCACACATGTCATCTACAAATCTGATTACCCAGGAAAGTAACTATAAACGTCTTACACTTGGCACTACACTCCAGCAAAAATCCGCAAATTACACAGCACCAGATGAGGGTTGGAGATGTCATCAAGCAGACGCACACACAACACATATATGGTTGCAATGTCCTGAAATCCCAAAATTTGGGAAGCGTATACACACTCTCATCCAAACATACACGTCCTTGACGATTCCGTTTTCCCCTGAGTACATACTGTTCCTATCACCCATCCCGAACGCTAAAGCACACAAGTCCAATTTGATCACCCAGCTACTCATGGCAGCCAATTTACTTATCCCAGCCCTATGGAAACAGGCAAACCTCCCATCGATAAGGGATTAGATGCAAAGAGTGGACCGCATGAAACAGATGCAAGAGATCACATATTCCATTACCAAAAGATACATAAAATTCACCCAAATTTGGGAACCATGAAGTGTCTTTATCCAAGCAGAAGTAACTCCACGCTGATCCTAGACCCGAAAAATGTGCATATTAATATCCATCAGATAGTGGTTTCTGGACAAAGACCAAACTTGCTAGAACACCCTCGAGTTAGATACCCAACCCTATACCAGATGACTCTCAAGGTAGCCCCCTCTCCCCCCATCACCCCAACAAACTTTCAAACAGTGCTTAAAGGTGGTGGGGACATGTCAGTGAACTCACATAGCACCAAAAGGGACTCACATCGGTAGGGACCAATGACTCTACCATTAAATCTCATACAAGGGTAACGTTTTCAGGGACAGCGGATAGTCACATAACAAGTATATGTGTACTGAGTTTCAAGCCATCCTACCGAACTTCCAATGGATTAGTGGATTGCATTTGAAGTGTTAATCAACATGTGTCAGAGAGTTATTTATTAAATGTAATTTCATTTCTACACTATACCTAGACAAGACAAGTTGGTGCATACAGCTGGTGTTAATGCTACGAGTATCACTGCAAGTTTGTACGGGACTTTTGTACTTTTAACTTGGCTTGTCGAGAATATGTACTAAGCATTGTTATAATCTTTCATGTACCTTTTACTTGAAGTGTCAAGAATATGTACTAAGCAATGTTATAATCTTTCATATGTCTATATTTGTAAGTAATTACAAAAAGAATAAAAATAAATTAAAAATAAATAAATAAATAATGCAAATGGAAGCCCAACTTACCTCGAGGCGCAACAACCTCTGGCTCCGATGTATTCCTGAAACAGTCCAATCAGTACACTTTAAAGGGTTATTTAAGAGCTTGGTTCCTGAAATCCCAGCAGATACGCTTCTTCTGGGTCATCTAAACAGAGTCTCAAAGTCTAAGCACATATCATCAGCCTTTTACTAAAGTTCCATTATTTTCATATCAAGGAATTGCTATTGAGAAAAAAAATGCAAATTCGGTTGTATTCAAGTGGTACAACTGCTGCTGCTGCCACACTGTTTAAGATGGCATATACCTTACCTTTGTTTCCAATGTTTAAACTATTATTAATAATTGACATTGCTCAGGTTCCCAGTCTAAACCATGGTTTGGTAATTTTGCATAATCCCATCTAACATTAGCCGACCCAGGCCCTCATTGAACGCTCTGCTGTCATGCCTCACCGAGTATCTAAATGGGAAAACTATGTATATACTTTGATTTTTACTTATGGTTATTTTTGGGTACAGATCGCTTGAACTTTACATACTGTAAACACGAAAATAGCATCCACTCTGTTTTCCCATTGCATAATTCTCCTTTTGCGAACCGAACAATGGCAATCTCTGACTTTGTCCCCGTTCCTGAAACATCTAGGTTTATAACTGCTGTATGTCTTAAGATCCATGAAAGTAACAACTTAGTTAAATCCTTAATAAATTCAGGAGCACGTTTTACTCCTATCACTCACCATACCTATCTCTATGTCTGTTGGTATCTTGCATAGGGAAAGCATTGTCTCCATCCTGGTCTGTTGTATTGGGTTTCCTCTGGTTGTTCAAACACAACCCGGTGATTGATTACTGAATTATTTGATCGTCTTAAAGGATACTAGGTGTTTACCAAACAAGACAGTGGGGGTGCATATAATTTGGTTAGGATCCGTGAAGGAGACGAGTGGAAGACGGACTTTAATACCCACGAGGACATTATGAGTATTTAGTTATGCCTTTTGGCTTGTGCAATGCTCTGGCCGTCTTCCAAGATCTCATTAATGATGTCTTGAGAGCGCTATTATCCATATATGTTGTTGCATATCTTGACTATATACTTTTACAGTCACCCGATCTAGAGACACATTATAAACATGTAAGACTGGTTTTATCCAAATTACTGAAGAACAGATTGTTTTGTAAACTGGAGAAATGTTTGTTTCACTAATCTACTGTTCAGTTTCTGGGTTATATCTTATCTGAAGCAGGTTTTACTATGGACCCTTTGAAACTGAAGGCTATTCTAACGTGGCCTCTCACTCAGGGTTTAAAAGCCACCCAGTGCTTTATCGTTTTTTAGAAGTATTACAGGAAATGTATACACAATTTTTATTCCATCACAACACCTATAACTAACATTACAAGAAAGGGTGTTAATCCTCTTGTTTGGTACAAAGCTCTAGCCGCTATAGAAAAACTCAAGGTGATGTAGATTAATTTAGAAATAAACAAAAATGTTTAAAAGTCTATCTGTTCCTGTCCAAATCTGAGATGAATAAATTGCGTATACGCAGAAGTAAGTTCACACTGACCCATGCAGTTCAGGTTAAAAACACTTCAGGAAATTTATTAGCATCTAGTTAAAAAGCGGGCACGCAGGCCTTTTTATATGCAAAATGACATCATCATTGAATATCAGATAATAACAAATAAACATCATTAATTGGGTTAAATGTTAAGTGGCTATGTCAGTGTCCACCCATTAATATTATTAATTGGCTCAGAGATTTGAGTGACTAGTGAGGCACCCTCCCATCATGGGATGTCGTCGCCATTGCTCTTTAGCACGAGGCTTACTCGGTGGAAAGGGGGGCTTGGGCGTCATTTTACATAGTTAGTGATGTCAGTCTCGTGGTCTGTTCCAAGGTTCTTTTATGAATAGAACATTTCATTTTGTTGCTGTTCTCCTGGCCTTGGATTATACTATGTTGCAAGTCAACGGAGATCCGCTAACTCCGGGGCTAGTTATGTCCTTAGAGAGAGAAAATACAATCTCTTATTCATTATATTGAATACTGTCAGGAAATTCTGTCATGTAAGGTGAACAAAATGGAGTTAGTACAATAATTCAATACAGGTTCTAATAAAGATTTTAATAATTCTACATCAGTCCCCCCTATGAAATGTTAGATTCTAAAAGATAATCTTTATTTGTTAGTATCAGAAGACGTGTTAGCCCAAAGGCACAGAAACCCCGTGACCCGCTAGCTAGGTGTTATTGCAAAGTGCAAAGCTGTCCCTTCGTCTGTCCCTAATTGGCTAACTCATCTGTCCGCTGGGCACTCGAACACTTCACTCCATGGGTATCCCGAGGTGGCTAACCCACCACATCTCCGCACGGTAGACTTCCCAGACAGACAGATGCTGTCCCTAAGCTGGTCCCTTCCTAGAACTCTTGCACTCTATCAATAAACGGGATAGATTGTAGCGGTATACAGGGCGAGTTGACTTTTTGGAAATCTTGGTCATCAACTGTGAGGTGTGCGTAAGTGGGTGCCGCTTGGTCTACAGTCTTCAAGAGGAGCTTTCTCAGACAAGGGAGGACACAACAAACGAGAAGAGCAAAGATAAAAAGGAAAATTAGTATTGCTATACCAATATGCATCAAAGCTTTTTTTCCATCCTGTCATCCAACCAAACCATCTCTCCCAGGGATCTTTTATCCCAGAGTTCCTCTTTAGCTCCTCAGAGAGCTCTTTCAATTTTTCTATAGCTAAGGTTACTTTACCATTGGGGCCTGTGTTTTCTGGGATGTAAGTACAACATGTCATGGTGTCAGGCAGAATTTTACATACCCCTCCTTTTTCGGCTAGAATCATATCTAAAGCCATTCTATTCTGGAATGACATTTGGGACGTAGCCTGCAGCTGTTCGGCCAAACCCTGAAGGGCATCCCTGGTGTAATTAACAAACCGTTGTTGGTTGTAGTAGATGTAATTTATCCAATTTAAATTCTTGTTTGCAGTGACTATGGTAAAAAGTGATTCAAATCCTGCAGCAACTTCATCCCTGGCTTTAAACTCATTGGGCACCCCCCTAGGTACCCCAATGGCATCAATGTAAATATGAGGGTCAAAACTGCCTTTTACTGGGGCTTCACGCTTTACCTTGGTTGGTGAGTGTTTGGACTCATGAGTCTTTATCCATTCTTGATCTCAGCTGTAGATCCCCACACAACCAGTAAATATCCCCCAATGATCTAGTGTGGAATTGTAGGAGGTTCATAGAGACAGTTCTGTAGGTGGCACAATAACCTTTAGAGAAGTTACCCACAAATTTACCAATTCCATCATAATTAGCATAACAGGTATAATTACCTTTATAGACGGTAACACCATCTGGGGGTTTGCAATCTTTGACTAGAAGAGGATACTCTACTGTCCATGCTTTACATATGGACCTATTGAAATTGTAGTGATAGGCAAAAAGACTCAGAACACATTCTTCTATATCTACTGGCAAAGTTGAAGGCACAGTGCCCAGGTGCGGCCGGGCACCACCACACACATAGCATGCGGTTCTGTTATGTTTGTTGGCATTATATTTCATCCATTCTAACCATAGATTAACATAATTGAAACCTGTTTCAGCGGCCATGGTATCTTCAAATGTTGGATTTGCAATGGCCATCATGTCTTTAAAAGATTGGATGTGTGGTTTCAACGGATTTGAGACCATGTGGGTGGTCCCTTTCCACTCAGGAGAGTGGCACATATCTTTAAGGTGGAAATGTCCTAATTTATTATAGGAACCCTTCTTCCAGTACATTCCCATTACATACTGGTCTGCATCCGTTGGGCTGGGATGCTCAATGTTTAAGATTAATTTCATAGGTATGCCTCCTCCGGGCTTTCTCAGAGTCATTCTCTGGAGGAGGGACCTACCGTGATCATCAATTTTAGATAAGACACTTTTTGGTTTGTAATCCCAGGCAGGCCCGGCATTCCATCCCGCCGCCCCCCAATGGTTACAGTTGTGCCCCCATTGTTTGTCAACTACACAAACATAGGGGTCTTTTGAATGAGGGATATCTCTATAGATATTCTGAATCTGTGACGTGGGGAATGGGCATTCTACGATGTCACAGTAGTCAAAAGTATAAGTAGCCACACGGGTACATGATGAATTATACCAGAAGGTGTACCCACTAGCATCTTTGGTGATGGCCACCTGCTGGGCTTTAAGGAGGCCAACTAAGGAGATAATGTACCAGAGGCACATGGTTGCATAGAGTTAGCTTCCTCTGGGGCAGGTGTCTTCTTGCAATGGGAAGCGTGGATCCAGTTAGGCCTTCCGGCCAATTTGACAGAGGTAGGGGAGATCAGGAGAACTTGGAACGGACATTTACTGTTTTCGCACAAATTTCTTGACCAGAACCCAGTCATCGGGGAGCAGACTGTGGTTGCCTGTGTCAGAATCAGGATCTGGAATTGAAGAGAAAACTTGGGCATGGATTTTGTTTAAGGCGTTTGCGAGTTCAGTTACATAATCTACTAAGACATCAGTTTGAAGTTGTAGTTGTTGGGGAAAATAGCAACCTAGCCTAGGTGCAGTCCCAAATAGAATCTCATATAGGGACAATGAGGTAGTATTTTTGTACAAGAGCATTCATTAGATCCTTTGATAAATGTGCAGGTCCGTGTGCCCATTGTACGACTGCTGGGTACAAATTCTTAGGGAGGCAGAACTTGAGGTTGTTGGAGTACACTCCATCCTTCAGAACTGCCCCTTTCTGTTTCCACTTCTGTATTTCTTCAGGGGCAACTGTAGCCTGTTGTTCCCGCAGGATTTTTAGGTCAGTTGGAAGAGTCTGCAGAGTAAATATGGGAGTTTCTTCATTTCCGGACACTCTTCTTTCCACTTCCTGTGGTTCTTTTGCAGCTTG